TGTTGTCCCTATTGTTACAGACATACTTGCTGACAGGTATTTTGAAATACATTACCAAAATAATTGAATCTTGCATTGGTATGTTGTGTTATTTTGACAAATAAAATATGCAGAATTTTAAAATATTGTGCACAGAATATTTTATTTTTTGGCATAGAAGACCCCCAAGAGTAATCAACAAAACTGAGACATACGATCCTGGTCCTGAAATCAGATCATTGTGTAAGAATGCACACACATGGAGTCCCACTGAATTCAATTGGGTTCTGCACAGGCACCTGGGTCCTCTCATTTCTCCCACTTCCTTCAAATGAATCTAATGTATATTTAATATTTAAAGTAGCTGATTTTTTTACAAAAAAAATAAAACAAATTTTATTAGAAGATCACAAAAGGAAAAGACTAGGACAACTCCATATGATGCGATATTTTATAAACTTTTTTAAACAAGCTCTAACAAGTTCATAATATGCTACAGCTTCACAATCTATTTTATAAGGCCCCAATCCAGCAAACATTTACATAGGTAGTTAATTTTACATATTGACTTCAGTGAGTCTACACACATGTGAAGTTAAGCATTTCTGTGTTTGCAAGATGAAGGCCTAATAATTTGCAAAAGACAGAACCTAGCTCTGTGGGCTCAATCTTACTCCCACTGACTTCAGTGATTTAACACCTGGCCATGCATGACTATGTTGTTCTTAGACCCTTAAATAGCACTTACAAAGAAGTTTCTGTACATTCTTTTTTTTTTTTTTTTAAATAAAAACATCAAAAGATGGTGGGACACAATCTCAGGAATAATGATAAATTTTATCATAATGGTTATAAACCATTGTATCAGTGGAGTTTGAGTATTCCGGACACTGTGGAGTTTGAGTATTCCGGATACTACACTGAGCCAGGGGCGGCTCTATGTATTTTGCCGCCCCAAGCACGGCTTTCGGCGGCGCGCCTGCGGGAGGTCTGCTGGTAACGTGGATTCAGCGGCACGCCTGTGGGAGGTCCCATGCCTTCGGCGTACCCGCCGCCGAATTGCCACCGAAACCACGGGACCGACGGACCTCCCGCAAGCATGCCGCCGAAGACAGCCTGACTGCCGCCCTCACGACGACCGGCACGCCGCTCCCCGCAGAATGCCGCCCCACGCACACTCTTGGAGCGCTGGTGCCTGGAGCCGGCCCTGCACTGAGCATAAGCAATACACACTGTTATGGAAAGGCAGTTACCGCACCCATTAAGGCGATACTGTAGGATACATTTTCAAAGCTTTAGAAATGGATTTCACCACTCAGCTCTCATTGCTGTTAATAGAAGTCATACAGTTAACTCCTCCTGTATTACTCTGAAAATTTAAACCCAAAACCTGTTTTGCAAAAGAAAAAAAACATTTACACCCTTTTCTGCTTTGTTATGATGTATAACAAAAAACAGAAAAGGTACATTTGAGAGATTTAAAAGCAGGTGGCTGATTTAAAAAAAAAAAAAACTAGACTAGAGAACTAGATAGGAAGCTTACTTACTCATCAACTAACCACTAGTTCTCCTGTTCCTCAAGAAAGCAAAACAGGGAATTCAAGACCTGCTTTTTCTAATAAAAATCGTAAGCAGGAATATAGACAACTTAAAAAAAAATCAGGCTTTCATTACACTGTATAAAGAAATAAAAGAAGGCAGAAACATTATTCTTTTATTGCAGGTCACATGAAAGGAATTTTTTCCCCATTGTTTCTATTTTAAATGACATAAAAATGTTATTATTGTCACCAATATAGAAAATACTCTAAAATTTAAAAAATGAGTAAGTCTACACAAATGAAACAAAACTATTTAAATAATAGGCACACAAAGAAGGATCTGAAGACACAGGATTCTGCAGAAGACCCAAAGTTATTTAAAACTAAAAAGTTAGCTGCTGAAGTAGACTTATGGTGAGCACAACAATATTCCACATGGAGCATGTTTTTATTGTTCACTTAGGATCCAATCCTGCATAATCTTATGCACAAGCTTAACTTTAAACCAGTGGTTTTCAACTTTTTTTCATTTGCAGACCCCTAAAAAATTTCAAATGCACATGCAGACCCCTTTGGAAATCTTAGACATAGTCTGCAGACCCCCAGGGGTCCACGAACCAAAGGGGGAAAACTGCTGCTTTAAACACACAAGTTGTCCCCTTGACTTCAGTGGACACACTTGCATGCACAACATTAAGTATGTTTGTAAGTGTTTGCAGAATAGAGACCTTACTTTAGAAAAACTTCATTGAATATAGTGGACATATTGATGGACCGTTAGGCATAGTAATGTGTATAGCTCATTATTCAAAAGCTATACACACTTATTTCCTAGTAATCTGAAACTTTAAAAGGCTCTAATTGGATGTGTTTAATAATCATTTACAGAAATATGAGATCCACTGTAACCTGGTTCACAGTACAACAATCACTTCAAAAGACAACGTCATGAGTTCTAGTGGTAGCAAATGCAAAATATGGAAGGCAAAAAGGCAGATAGGAACGGCTATAGAGGGAAAGCCAAGCAATCACAAAAGGTATTGAATTTATTTTCTAGGCACTATATTAATTCAACTTCACTATCATATATAGCATTGTACAGGCAAGTAGTAATAATAAATTAAATTTTTACGGGCAAAATTCTAACCTTCCTTGCACATACCCTAAATCAGAGCAAGCTACATACAGCACTCCTCTGAGCTCTACGTGGAATGTGGATGGCAAGTTTTGGGAGTGTGTATAGCTTCTTGTGTATATGTTGCCTTTGGTGTCTGGTAGTAAGAGAAGCAAATGCAGTACTATTTACTGAGGCTCTTTTAGGAGCAGCAATAAAGAGTAGAGTACTGCATAGTGTGCTAGTCACCACTCCCCAAGATACCCTACCTACAGCAAATAAGATAGCTCAAGGACCCGTTACTCAGGCATTACCACTCCACTTTTTCCAGAAACCCTCATTCACAAGTCCAAGATTTGCCATATATTGGGATTCTGATTACACCAAACCACAACAGCCAATATAAAATAGCTTTATAATTGACTTGCCTATAAATCTGACATTTCATTTTAAACACACACACACACACAGTGGTATGGTGTCTGTCACTCCAGTAAGAAATTCAAGTGTGGATATAACTAGGAATTCTCTTAAAAACAGATGTTCTTGGCAAAACGAACTCACTTTATTCGCTTGTCTTTACATTTTCACATTAGGAGATTTTTTTTTTTGAAGGTTTATGGTTTTCCTTTCATTTTTCATCTGAACGCTAGTGCTTCAGATCCATCGTTCCAAGCTCCACCTGGGAAATGCTGCAAGCAGGATTCTATGGACATCTTTCCATGTTGTTGTTCTCCCCCTCACCCACTTTCATCCTTGCTACAATACACTGAACAGACACAAATCTATGTTCCACTTCCCAAAGAGTATTAATTAACCATTTCAGCTCCTATTACTGAACTCCACCAGATCAAAAATATTTGGTCAGCATATTTTGTTTCATTTTCCTTATACTAGTTATTTTCACCTTTGTAAAAAGACACAAACATACAGTTCCCTCACAGCTGGCTTACCATATTACATTTCTTCCTGAACTGCCACTCAGAAATGGGTGAGAGACCCTCTCTTTCCCTGGTAAAACATACATGTAATAGAAACTGTCTGTCTCATATCTCATTTCTTTTTACATTTTAGCCTCCAACAATCAACCCAAGAACACCAGTAATAAATAAAATTCTGCTGTATTTTTCAATTTGCTCCATATTTTTAATCTTTATTCACACTATGGGAAGGGTAGGAAGGGAAGATATTTAACCCTTGTTTTCCTTGCATAGCACACAAGTAACAGCTTTTTTGTGTGTGTTTCTTTCATGTGAATTCTCTCTGCAGCAGCAAAGTCTCTGGAAATAAAATACACCATGTTCTGACAGCCACTTTTTTCCCCCTTTGTCTTTATTTTTCCACATTGCTTAAGGGGAGGTTTGTCTCATTGTATCATTATAGTTAAACCCATTAGCCTTTAAAATAAACGTATATCATTTAAGACCAACCTTATGCCCATTCAATCTGTTGTTTTAAGGACATTTACTTGATCTTTTAATTGAAAAAAAAAATGGTTTTTATTGATACCATTTTAGTAAATTCATCTTATTAGCCTAACATTGACTACACTACTTAAATATATAACTAACCATAAATTATTGTGAGCTTCATATTATTGATTACAAATTGATGTCACTGATCCAGTGGCCATCTATTTGACAGTCCTGGTACTACCGGTCCTTATATTATATTGAGCCAGTCTCCATACAAGAGGTGCAATATCTATGCCATTGACAGTCCCTCTTGATATTGGTAGAAGGGATCCAGCCCCCATGTGATCAATTCGCTGTCAATCCCACACTATAAAGGTATTTTTGAACCAGTCCCTATTACGACAACTCTCTCTGGGTGTGTACCATTTACCCACCCCCATGAACATGGCTCACGGATGGATCTGGTCGCCGGCAGCGTCACTCCCATAGGTGCGAACAATGCGGTGCTGGTCGATAGACTTTCAGCCCAGGGATCAATGCACCCCCCACCCAGCCTCACTGACCCAGGCTCGGTCCATGCCCATGCCGGGCTCTCTGCGCCGCTGAGCCGGCCCCCCTCAAAGACGCGGGGAGCACCGCCAACCCCCCACCCCACCCACCTCCCGTGGGGGGGGGAGGGGATGATTGACGCGATTTCCAATCACACATCGATACCACTATCGCCACACAGACCCCGATCTGTCACGAAATATCGCGACACCCCCCCCACCCACCCACCCCCAATGGCTACGCCGCCGAGACCCCGCACCCCTCCCGCCTCCGAGACGCCAGCGCTGATCCCCACACACCTCTCCCCCCCCCCTCCCATCGACACCCACCGCCTAACCCCCCCCCCCCCCTCTCCTCCCCGCCGGGCCCCAGCGCCTCCCCCTCAGGAGTCGCTGCCCTTACCTGGGGCGGCGGAGCGCGGGCTCCGAGGCGAGGCTGCCCTCCGGATCCGGGCGCCTCCCTCTCACCACATCCCCGCTGGCCCCCGGGAGCCGTCCCTGCCGGGGCGGGGACAGGGTGGCTGTTCTTGCCCCTCAGCGGCTCTCGCGCTCCACCGCGGCGGTTACCTCAGCCCCCACCCACCCCCAAAAAATATATATATATAAAACGCCCCACGGCTCCGGATCCCCTCCCCGCAGAGCGCGAGGGGGCGGGCGGGCGCGCGCGCGCGGTGTCCCAAGGGAGGGAGCAGCAGCCCCTTTGCGCCTCGCGCCTCTGGCCTCGCGCCCGCCCGGCGCGCGTCCGCGCAGCCAACTCGCTCCCGAGTCGCGCGCGAGCCAGCGCCGGCTCCCTTCTGGGCTCGCGCACTCGGCTTGGGCAGGGGGAGGGGGAGGTCTCGGTGGGAGTGAGGAAGGAAACTCAAGCTACGCCTCCCTCCCTCTCTCTCTCTCTCTCTCTCTCGCCCTTGCGCGAGCGGGGACGCACGCGCTCACTGGAGATGAGCCGCGCGGACCAGGAGGGGTCTGGTTAATTATTCACGCGGGGCGTTGCTATGCAAATCGATGCTCCTGCCTGGCCATGGCACCCCGCCTAGCGTGCAGGAGGGACGCGTAATTCTTCCCGAAGGGCGGGGTTATGCAAAACAGGTCGTCCCTCACCTCCCCCCGTGCGTTGCTCTTGCACCTGGTTTCTATCTCTGTCCTGTATTCATAACGGGGGGGGGGGTGAATTTTTAATGACTTATTATATATTAATTAGCCCTGTAATTACTGCATGTATGGGCCCAAGGTCTCTGTCTATGAGTGAGTCAGGGGCTGGGTTGAAGAAGCACAGAGGACATGGGAGGCATGTAAGAGGGGAGTTCGCAGCCCGCTCTGTGTACGCCTCTCAGCTGAAGTCCGTCTGGTCGGAGCCTTGCCACGTTTGTGATGTTCATGTTAAATCGGCAGGAAAACTTTTCCAGCAAGGCGGGGGTAGGTCTTTGGAGACAGTTCCCACTTTCAGAATGTTCTTTTATGAAGAATTTGGGGTTCTAGAAGACTGTAGCACGAAACCCACGTTTGTCTGTGTTACGATAATGCATTTTTACTCCTTTCTCTCTCCCAAGGATTTCTCATCTGTGCAAATGTGTGTGTGCAATGCATTACGCACGTAAAACGTATTTTCGGCAAGGTGGGTGGTTGTGCAGCGTTTGTTGGGTGGAATGTATTGGGGATGTATCTGATGCATTTTTCCTACGGTGCATTGTTCAGAGCTGCAACTGATACTGTCAAAAATTAACTGCTACTAAACCAACAAAAGGGAAGGATGTGACTGAGGAGGAAGATTCCGGCTCCAGCAGCTGAGAGGGATTTTATAGAGGCAGGACCTACACACAAGAGTTTTTGGGTGAATTCTGTTTCTGGGGATAGAGCTCCAACAGCTTATATGTGCTTCAGCTCCTCCAAGAGGACAGAAGGCGTTAAAGCTTTTTTCATTTTAAACCCTGATTTTTTGAAAGAACTAGGCATGAAGGGAGGAAATTTTCAGTGATGGTACTGTTAGGCAGTAGAAATACAGTAGTTTCTACAGATAAAACTTCAATTAATTATATACAGCTCACTGTAAGTATAATGTTCCTTCTGCCATATATAGGATGCTACTTGTTTATATAAGACAACTATCCTACTGTAAAAACATCACATTTTATTTGGTGCCTGTTAGTGTATAAAGTCTTTAATAAAAATAACTTCCATTCTTTAAAATGTAAGAGGGATGCTTACTCTTCATATCTGTCCTTATGTTTAGGTTTTGTAAAACAAGCTGTAACAAACCTAAGACAAACATTATAAAATTATTTTCAAGGTCCCATTAAAACACTTAACAAAATATTGTAACCAAAATGCTGCAAAGAATGAGCTATATCATGAAATCTAAAGAGTTAATTTGCATTATTTTATTGGCCAAGCTGAGTAAAATGCAAATACTAAAAAAAGTAGCATAACTAGTGAAAAGTAAACTAGATTTTTAAAAATTCTCTAGGGTATAATACTAATATATTAACTGTAGAAAGGACAGTTTTATTGGATTTTTCATCTGACCATGACTCTTTAAAAATAATTAATCAAAAAAAGTTTAATCTTATTCATCAGTAAAACCTTCTTTCTAGTCCCAGCATACAACATGTTCCCCTTAATTAAATTAATTGTAAGTGTACTACACTCTCTTGGGATGTCTTGTCAAAGCTTCTAGGTGCAGACTTGCCTCCATCTGATTGCAGAAAGGTTAAGAGCTTCACATCACATCTGTCCCTGGTGCCAAAGTTAATGACCAAATAAATTAAGCAACAGGGTGAACTGCAGTTCTGAGCTGAGTGAATTATTTGCACAAAAGAATTAATTACAGTAGAAGCAATCCCAGTTAGTTTGAAACTGTTAAAAACAAAATAGAGCTATATCAGTTTTATTATTTCGTATATGAGAACTTCTGGCTGGTAGCATTAGAGCCCACCTTCTCTTATTTCTGGAATTAAGGAGCTATCCGATTGGGTGCACATGCATTCAGGTCCCTGGATTTTGCCTCCTGACTGGGTAATTTCTTTCACTGACTAATAATAATATAATTTAAAACAGCACATCAGCAGCACCTTTTAAAAACATTACAGAAATCTTCCAAAAATCCTTTTGTTTAATTCTACAGCAAAAGTGCGTTCTGTAATTATTTCTATATAATTGTCTCTCATGTCACATTATAGTCTTTTGAGTCCACATATATTAAAAGCGAATAAGTAGCCAGAATTATTCCTTTTTCCCTTATAAGGTGTACTTGCATGGCAAATACACACTTCGCATACTGTTGCAGTTATAGTGTTTAGGAGTAATAATACTTCCACCTACAAGAAAATATTCTCAGATGTGCTGTTAATTGCTTTATATAGCTACCCATATTTTTTCTGAAAAAAGTAAAGCATGTTTCGAGACAGACATTGCGTAAGAAAGGGAGCCCCTGTCGCTTCAGGCCAGCTCCTACTCCCACTGCAGAGCTGGAACGTGGGGCAGGGGTGACAGTAAGGGCATTGATTGGGATCGAGAAAGAGACCAGCAGGTTTGCACTTAAAAATTAGCTCAAACTAGCTATGTTGCTCAGAGCGATGAAAGAATTTGCATCCTGGGCACCGTAGTTAGGCCGACCTAAGCATTCCAGTTCTAGTTTACTACTCTGCACACACACACCCCAACACACACAGACACACAGAGCATGGGGGACAAGGTTAGAGGGACAGGCTGGCAGGGAGAGGCTGCAGTTTAGGACTACACCAGTGCCTACTGTAGACACAGGCTAGATCAACAGAAGAATTCTTCCATCAATGTAACTACCATTGATTACCTATAGGACAAGAAAACCCCTTCTGTTGCTTTAGTTGGTCTACTGTATCGTAGACATCTCTATAGGCACCTAAATTCCAGACCTAGGTACATAACCCAAGACTTCTGCATCTAAGTCCCAATTTTGGCTCCACTGCAATCCACAAAACTCCTACCAAATTCTGTAGGAGCCTAAATTCACTCAATGCCTAACTTTTCAAAGTAAAATTTCCCTAGGCACCTGTGTTTCAGCCTCTGGGCATGCACACTGCTGCCTCCCTCTATGCGTCCAAATGCCTGTCTACTGCCTGAGCTCCAGAGTGATCCATGAATGAGGGGAAAATAGACGTTCAGCCGCCTAAGTCATATGCAGGGCCTACTTATTGGATCAGGTCCCCCATTCAAAAGGTAGTTGGAGGAGGTGGTGTCATTGAACCTGGAGACCCAGGTTCAATTCCCCTATCGCTGCAAATGGGGAGGGGGGAGACCCTTGTTCAAGTCCTACCTCTCCAAAGAGTACTCTAACCATGGAGCCAGAGATGACCCAGGCCTGCCGATAGTGCTGGGGGAGCAGAGTGAGGGCAGCTGGCTTCAGCAGTGTTATTGAGGTGGCTCAGTCTCTGAGCATGCTCAGTACAAGCCCAGCAGCAAATCAGGGAAGGATGCGCATGCCCCCCACCGCGTCTCCTCTGCACTGAGCTAGGGGATGTTCTGATGTGGGGTTCAGTCAGCCTCTGCTGTTGAAGCTGTTCCATTCTGGATAAAGAGTGACAGGACCAGGGGGACTGCAGCATCATTCTCTCTCTCTGTCATTCTGGTCCGAGAGGGAGGAAGGATGTAGTTTCTTCGATATCTGAAATCCCTGCATCGAGATACAAAGACTAATGTGTTTGGTTATTTTTTTTAAATGTATGTTATAGGATCATCCCTCCATATTTGACTCTAGGAAGTGTGAGTAATTAAAACATGTAAGAAAATATAGATTTTACCTTCCATATCTACCTAATTAAGAAAGATACAATCCAGTCCTAGTAAACATTTAAGGAAGAAAATTATTTCAGATCAATTCTAATATTATTTAACAATGTATTCTTAAATACCAGGATATGAACTTCCCTCCCACCTCCACCAGTTCAAAATGGCCCAGGTTTGGTGACCTGCAAGGTGCATCTATTTGTGGAGACTGCTATGGAAGTGGGTTTTTAGAGAAATTATTAATTATTTGTATTATCATAGCCCCCAGAAGTCTCAGTCACAGACCAGGACCCCATTGTGCCAGGTGCTGTATAACCCCAGGATAAGAAGACCATTGCTGTCCCAAAGCTTGCAGTCTGAAGTATAACACAAAGGACAACAGCTGGAATTATATTTGTAAAGGGGGCGGGATTTTTATTCTGCAAGCTATTTAATTATCCTGGAGCCTTAGATAGGTGCCTCTATTTTTGTATATATAGCTAAATAAATAATGCAAATAATTTCAAGATTAATTATGCAAATAAATTGGCATATTGTGTCCCTTCTTCCAACAGTGTTTTCTTCTGACAACAGGATTGCCCCTCTGCTGAGTGGTAGCAGATGCTGGGGCCTTGCACATTATCTTTCCACTGGAGGAGAAATCAGTGACATGGAAGCTAGGTATATTCTCAGTGTAACTAGATTTAACACTTTCACCAGTTCTGGAACAAGGTGATCAACTAGCATAGAAAGCAATACCTTCTTTCAGGAATCTCAGCCCAGCACCAATATCTGGTCATCTGGTTCCCAGATAGCAAC